CCAGCCTACTTTCCACTAGTTGCTGAAGACGGCAAAAGACAACAACTGAAAACGAACGATATGACACAGTTTCGTCGCTTGCCGAGAGAGAGAAAAAAAAATGGAAAAAACGGGTTGGCGCCACGCCAAATGCTGCCGCGCTGCTACGCCCCATCATTCACAGCGAGCGAAACTGTATGGAAACATCAAAGACCAAAGGTACATACCTAGGTGGAGCTTTTGCGACTCTTTCCCTTCGTTTCTTCTTAGCGGAGCAAGCTTTTTCATTTGTGCCGGTCTTGACAGATATAATGGCAATGTTCCCATCTCTGGAAAGCTCCGCTGAGAACAGTTTATCTTACTAATACATACGTACGGGCATACATAGAGAGCTAACTAAAATGGAAATGGCAAACAGTTTGGAATACTGTAGGATGATAAGGGTGAGAACTATGTACCACCTACACTTCTGATTTTGATTTTCCTTGATTGAGAGAGACACAGTCAAGCTCCACGCAAAGTTTTGTAGTCCTAAAAAATCCAAATAGCTACAAATTCCACTGATTGAGCAACTCAAGGAATAGCTGTGTTCACTTGTGGATTCCTTCAAAAAAATACATCGAAAATGGTATGATGCTAACCATTTGAGATGTCTTAGCTGCAGTTATGTAAGTTGTAATCAACCATCGTTTCAGAAAGAAGAGGCTTCGAATGAGAATGTTTAATGTTTCAATTCTATCGACCAATGATGAGACAGAAACTTATCGAATTTCAAGACGTATCAAAGTCGCCTAAAATTAAAACCTGCAGCGATCGCGACGCTGCGCGGACTTATCTTTGTAAGGATGCGTGCATACTCTGCGGCAGCGCGTTTTCAACGTCTGTCAGCATTTCGAGCGTTTCGAAAAGCATGTACATATAGGTATCGATTCAGCGTCTCGAGCGGCCGCCGGCATCATGAGTGTCCATCTCAGAAGGCTGATGCGCTCAAAACGCTGGCGGACGCTCAAGACGATAGATCGATGCCTATACTTCCCTAGTCGCTGAAAACGCTGGCGGACGCTTGAAATGCTGATTATCAGAACGCTGGATCCCGATACCTATACATTCCTACGTGCTCGAAACGCCCAAAAAGCTTGAAATGCTCAACATGGTCTGAACGCAGGCTGCGTTCAAACCATAGAGTACATCCATATTTTGTGTCAGCGATTCGAGCGTACGCCAGCGTTTTTAGAGACGAAGAAGGAATAGGTATCGATCTAGCTTTTGGAAAGTATGCAGACGCGAAGTGTGAACGCTCCCTTACAAGCACGATATAATCGACGCCTTCGGCGCAGGGCACATCACAGGCTGGGGATTTGGGTCGAGTTCGTACGCCCCCCCCCCTGATAGTTGGATCGATGCGGCTTCCCATACTAAGGTTTGTTGTTTTTTCGCCTTTTTATTTGGCATTTTCTTTCCAACGCACATACGCCTTTTATTTGCATTTTCTTCCAAACACCTACGTGGAAGAAAACCGGTGCCAAACTAAAAATTCCCCAGCTTGCTTAGCACCTTCCAGCACTGACGGTCACCCGGCCAAAGAATTCTAAACGAGTGAAACCTTAAACATTCCTTAGGTTCAAAAGACAGGATCCCACCAGAATCTCTGTTCACGGGAATTTAGTTTAGATGGACTGCTGCGTTCGAATACGTGTGTTACTTCATCTAAAATGGTAAGCCCATTAGGTCCGAAATGAACAAGCTGAAGAAGGAAGAATTTAAACTATTTCTACTATTTTCTACCACTGCTGGTTAACTGAGCGAGTTAGGGATCCCGGATTCATTTCGGAAATTCCTGGTAGAGTGAATGGTTGTGTCTACATCGCAACAAACTGTAGTGTTCTAATCTGCTCGCGCGGGAAGAACTGGCAGCTAAATGGCGTTCAAATATTGGCCATTGGGTTCGATGCGGCACCGTGTTCGCGCCTTGATTGCGTTGAGGCGCGTTTTTTTGGACGGCGCCCTGAAAGTAAGTACCTCCGCCTTCGAAGGGCCTATATCTTCTCCGTTTCAGCGAGGCGACTATTGGGAGAGAGCGAAGTGAGCAGTCGTAGAGAAAAAGTTTGGCTTTCGGATTGTCATAAAGGTCTTCGCGCTCTCATTTAGAGAGAAATTCAGCGCTGGGATCTGTTGGGGATTTTCGCTTTTGGATGCAAACTGTCCTGGTTTGAACGGAAATAATTTTCTTGAAGCTCAACTGTTTGCGAATCCAAGGCCAGTGTCGAATATAAGAAGATTTCTTCTTTCGAAAACCACTTAAACTGTTTCTGAACTCTCGGGGTTCATGAGATAATCGCGTTAGGGATTTTCTGAAGAACTCCGAGCTGCTCGAAAAACCCGTTTTCTGTGTACCGCTTTCAAGTGGGCGTATTCGGATATCCAGGAATGCATCTAGAATGCATCCCTTCGTGGAATAGAAACAAGCAGTAGTTGATTTGGCGCCCATTAGCTTCATTTGTGGATGCGCCATGCTTAGGCTCCCACGCAGAGGTAGTGGGATGGTGCAAGTTCTACGCAATGCCTGTCTACGCGAGCAGATGTGTTTATAGGATTAGAGAGGTCCATGGCCAACCTACGCAGTGTTGCAGTCTTGTCCGCTGCGGATGATGGGGCGGGTCCGCAACGGAGAACGGCAACCGTACGCCGCCAGATCCGTGCTCCACCAATTGCTGAGTCCGATAAAGGAGACCAACTGCTGGAAAACGTCTGATACGAACGATATGGTAGTCCTGTCGTTTGTCGAAAGAAAAAAAAGGTTGGCTCAGCGCCAAGCGCGGTCCCTCGGTCAAATTAACCGCAGCGAACCAGGGTATGAGTTGTAATGTTTATTCATCTACGTATTTACGAAATGGTCAGCTTATAGATATTTTCAGTTAATCCTTTATTGGTTCAATTAATGGAAAGTTTTGTACTATTTTTTTACATATCCGGGTTCTCTACAAAGCAAGTTTCGCTGTACAGGACTCAGCACACTGACACCTTTGCGCTGCTCGTTACTGGCTACCGCACTCATTACGACCCCCCCTCTCCTGGCGGCCAAATACGACCCCCCTGTTGGGGAATTCCCCAACAACGATGTGCCCTGCTTCGGCGACTATGGAAAGAAGATTAGATACGTATCCATCCGACGTCGAAAACGTCGGTTACGTCAATCACGTCGGATCGATACGTATGTTATTTACGTAGCAGTTTTGAAAACGTGGATTACGGTGAGGTAATCATAAGCCATGGACGCTGCCCTCAGGCAGATTACGATTACCTCACTGTCTCGCTTATCTCAGGGACTTTAGGGTGATTTTTAGAGACGAGACTACTGGACGAATGCAGCCGTTCTTCGCACCACTACTTCCACCTAGGAATCACTCGCAATATGTACGTCGCTGGACAGCCTCCCAAGATTGCTACAGAGCTCTTTCACATCTTCGCCAATATCAGACTACATTGATACTATGCCGAAATCATTAGAGAATCGTTCATGTCCATTCTGTCCAGTCACACTATTACTCGACCACTTGTTAAGGAAGGGACAAGAGCGAGTTTAAGATATTCTCTCGATAGATTGTTGGGTCATACTCCATTAGATCACAACCCCAGAAAGATGCGAAAGAATTCTGACTCACGTGCAGGTTTACTGAAAAGCGAATTTCCGAATAAATGACACTTACTCTGGGAATTCTTCCTTCGTTTTGCCCTCGCTCCACGGTGAAGCGAACAGTGCAGCTCTGAATCAATAAGATGAAATGGACTGAAAAAATCAGCGTACTGCAGCTCACCTGCAAGATTTTCGAGCCAGAGGGCATTCTTGATTCCTCGTTGCACCATTCTTTCCTTGCCGACATCCAAAACGCTTTTTTGCTCTTGTCATCACGAATCGTGAGATTTGAAGACTTCTAAATACTCCACGCGTTCACAGAGGTCTATGCCTTGTTTTCCGGAACACTTGTGTTCACCCACGATCAACAATCGCTATAATGAACAATGGCGCCAAGGTGGTACAGGACCATCAGCACTGTAGCAAATGTTAAGGAACAGGAAATGTTTAGTATAGTTCATATAGTGTTTGTAGTTACGCACATAGTTATCGATCGACTCGCGCGATATCTGGGGCGTCCTTGTTTGAACAGTGCTGTCGGTTTGCGCGATTACTTTTGCCATGACGCGTCAAAAACACGTAAAAGCAAAACGGTCATGTTATGCAAGACATCTGTCGCAAACTTTGAACAAACTATTTCCTTGTGTGATCACTGCCGTGACCGCTGCTCGAGAAGCATGCGCACTAAAGCCAATATTTGCAGCTCCAGGTGGGCTGTCAACTACGAACACCATGCAGTTTAGTAATTTGGACGAGCTGTCAGTTACTAAATGCGTACCACTACCTTTTAGGGTGCGTTAGGCTGCGTTTATACTTTGCGGCAGCGTAGCTGCTTCCAAGCGGTACGCGCAGCGGCAGTCCGCGGGAGAGGATGGCACTATGCGATCTAGCGGTCTACCAGCGTAACGCTAGGCGTTTCGCGCAGCGTCTTCACCAGCGTTTTGCTGGCGTTTGCAGCGGCAGGGGGAGTAGAGATTATGGGGCGTAAGAGACGCGCAATCGATGTGTTTTGTACCCTCCAGCTCTCCCATAGTCTCTACTCCCCTGCCGCTGCAAACGCTAGCAAAACGCTGGTGAAACGCTGGAGAAACGCTAGCGTTTTCACCGGCGTTTTGGCAGGGGAGTAGAGACTATGGGAGAGCTGGAGGGTACAAAACACATCGATTGCGCGTCTCTCACTCGCCCTCAGTCTCTACTATACACATCGATTGCGCGTCTCTCACGGCCACATAGTCTCTACAATACACATCGATTGCGCGTCTCTTACGAGCCACGTTCAGACTTTCCGCGAATAGCGCGATCGGATCGCTTGGATCGCGCCAATCCAATCGCGGCGATCTATCGCGCGATCACGAAGTCTGAACGCGCTCTTAGGCAGCGTTCATAGTTCGCGACAGCAGCGGCGATCGCCGCGATCGTCGGTGCATGGCAGCGCGCGCCCCAACGCTATTGTGGATGCTCGCCTGATGAATAAGGGAATTCAACTTGTAAGACCTTCTTTAATAAGGGCTACTAACAGATAAGCTACGACTTTCTACACATAAGCAGATCTGGAATATGAGGTAAGAAGGTTTCACTTCCTTTTAGGTCGGGGTAAGACCAACTCCATTTCCTGGGTGAGCTTCTTTTTTTGTTTTTATTGTTTCAATTTATGCATGCGCCTCAGGAATTCCTATCGTCTAAGCTGTTCCAACTTCCAAAACATTCATAGTTTACAAGTCGAGTTCAAACAACGAAGAAAAAAAGAAACAGAAAGAAACTCTCCTAGGAACCAAAGCACTAATCATTTTACGCGACATCAACAGGTGAAAACTTCATAAACCTCATGTACAACCTCGACGAATGAAAAAAGAAGCAATAAAAACGTACCTCAAGTGAAGCTCTCGCGCTTTTTGCTCATTTCTATCCTAAATAAGAAAGAAAATAGAAAACAAAAGCGATTAAGCTGGGCTCACCTTCCCTTGTGTCAAACCTAAGGAAATTGCAGTTAAAGGAAAAAAAAGCATAAAATTGAGCCGCTTACCCCCAGAAGCCTTCGGAGCGCAAGTAATAGCGTTGGGGCGCGCGCTGCCATGCACCGACGATCGCCGGCGATCGCGGCGATCGCCGCTGCTGTCGCGAACTATGAGCGCTGCCTTACGGCCCCATAGTCTCTACTCCCCTGCCGCTGCAAACGCCAGCAAAACGCTGGTGAAACGCTGGCGAAACGCTAGGCGTTTGACGCTGGGTGAGCTGTAGGACGCTTACCATCGCATATCCATCTTCCCCACGGCACTGCGCTGGCGTACGCTTACCTATAAAGACGCCACGCCTACGCTCACCTGCCGCAAACGCATAATAATCAATCCTCGCTAGCCTTAGCGCACACACTGTGACTCGCGCGTCAAACGACCTTCTCCCTCTTGCTTCAGTCGACGCAAGCAGCGATCTCATTGTCAGGATATCTCTCAACCACTAAGTTTTCTTTATTATTGTTCCCTCTTCTTTTCCTCTTCGGCTAGACGACGCGACCACTGAAAGGCTCGTAGACTTCCGCAGCGAGAGGAACTCGAACGTTGCCGAATTCCTTGTGACCAGGGCGCACTATCACATTGTGGCAAGTTTTTGCCCTTTCCAATCCTACCTGCTATCTTGCTGAACTTTCTCAAATTTTTGTTGTGGAGGGGGACACCTGTCAACTATCACCCACTATGTATAATTCGCTTCGTCTGTTTGTCTGTTTGTCTGCCCGGAAATCTGGTTCTACCCGAAGAGCAACTTATTAGAGAGGTCAAGTCGAACATGGAATGGGTAGGGCATGGGACAGTACGTGAAGAACACTCATGACTCATGCTAAGCCCTGTTCGCAGTGAGCGTGGCATCGCGGAAGTTGGCGGTGTTGCGGACAAAAACCCAAAATTCGGTTCCTGATCGGCCCAGAGATAGGAAAAAGTGGACTAAGGTCATCAAGAGGGTGACAGACTGGGGTGGGAGGACACACGTAACTCGGTTCTCGAGAAAATCAGACACCTCAAAAAGTCGATGGAGAAAAAAAGCATCTGGCGAGAGTTGAGCATGTTTGTGGTGCGTTGAGAGCCGCTCACAGTGGGCGAAGTGTTCCCTAAGCATGATGTAGCCTATCCAAAAAATTGTGCCTCGATTTTAGAGAACTCTAGAGATCGGGAAAAAGTGAATCAAGGTAAGCAAGAGGTCAGCGGTTGAGTAGTGAGATAAACGCGCTGTGGGCGCGCTGTGCGTTCATATGGGCAGGGCTAGACTCGAAAATTCGTAAAACGGTCACGGAACACTCCAGACAACGGGGAAAGTGAATCAAAGTCAACATTGGAATAACGTATGAGAAGAGGGTGACACACCTAGAGTGGATGTAACATTTACAGGGGGGTCAGACTCGAAAATCAGTGAAGGGGTGGTTCCAGAGCACTCCGGGAAGAGGAAAAAATGGGTCAAGGTCAGCAAGGAGCCAGCGGATGGGAAGGCGGAACCACCTAGAGTGAGCGTGGCATGCGCAAGGCCGGGCGGGATCAACTAAAAAATTCGCATTTCGGTCCCATAGTAGCTTGGAGACCGGGAGAAGTGTGCGAAAGCAAGCAGGGGTAGGGGAATGATGTGGGAGAGGCACACTTGGAGTGCACAGAGGTGGTCGGGACGAAAGTCCAAAACTCGTGAACCCTAGAAACTAGGAAGGATGAGCAAATGTGTGCAGGAGATGGCTGTTAGAATGAATAAGCGAGACCCCTATTGTGGAGCCACTCCTGACTTTTGCCCCGCCCACCACGGCGTAAAGTCGGAGTGAAGTGCTGCTGTGTATGCTAGCGGACGAATTGGCGGAACACCCTCAAAATGGCGGACCGTGCTTGAGATGGGCGGTGCTTGCTACAAAGTCTCAGTACTCGGTCTTGAAAGAGTAAAGAGATCGGAAAAAATCGTCGAAATAAAGGAACCTTTGTCAGGAGTTGATCGCGTTTGCCCCGAGAT